TTTATTCTCTGTTACCGACCACGTTGTAGCTATGTTGGGAACCAGTAAACTGGTCTCAGTTCATTCATCTGAAAACTGAAGGAGTAGCTTCCTTGTAAGTAGTTATGTCAGCAAATAAAGAACTAATATTAACAGAGTATTTGGAGTTGCCCAGGCAAAGGCTCTTTCTAGAGAACAGAGAATGATTGTTTTGGGTCCTCATATCAAAAACTATGATGATACTCCCTTTAGGGAAGTGATAAATGGCAATTTCAGAAAAGCCACTATTGCAGTCAAACAGCAGAGACCAGTGGGAAGGAGGAACCCAGATTTCAAATCTGAAATTAAATCTCTTTGCAATGTAAAGCAAGTATTTAACCTTACCTGTTTATAAAGGGAGATGATCATAGCTGGCTCTGCATCACAGAATGTTGAAAAGAAACATAAAATAGCTTGAGCTCCTGAAAGAAAATATTGAAATTTTTCTTTCAATATTTTGAAAGCAGTTCCTATAAGATACTTTAAAAAGCCTTACAACCCCCAGCAACAATGTGAGTTAAACGTTTTACTTCAACTGGCCTGATAACAAAACTCAACGATTAGCTATTTTGATAGCATGCACTGTTTTATTAGGTCCTGTCCAAAGATTCTTACACATTTTTTAAATCCTTGCAGAAATCTCAGCTTAAAGATGGCAGTAGCCCCCTATTAACTGTTCCTGAATATCTGCCTGCTCCTGGAAGTAGGGCAAGGGTAAGAGTGCAGGTGATGATGGGCTAGAGGGGCCCATTGAAGAAAGTTTCTAGGATTCCTAAAATTGTACCCTTTCATCACCTGCCATTTTATTATAGAGTAACAGGAATTAATATAGATGCCATATATGCCATTGCTATTTTCCTGTTCTAGATCGTCTCTGACTTTCATATATTCGGTTTTCATACAATCTAAACTATCGAACATGAATACCCTTAAACTACTTTTTTTTTTTAAAGATAATAAATTTGGTTTCTTACATATGAACTAACCAATAATTGTCTGCCTGGCCACAATCTTTGTAGACAAGGCTTCTGTTTTATTGGAGAGGAGAACAGTATAAGCATTCCCCTGCCTCTCCCGCTCTCCCCCTACATCCCCAGTGCTGAGGGTACCCTGGTCCCTACACCCTTCATAATTAGAGCCAGGGCATTCCCTGAACTTGCCCACACCAGTAGGACCCTTGCATCCCTGCCTCTCTGAGAGCCTGAGCTGGTTGGGGGTTGGGGCCAAGAGAAGGAAGAGTGAAGGCAGAGTTGGGGACTCTGTACAGCGTGGGCAGGACCCTCATGTAGGCATTCAGANTTGAGCTCTTAAGGCCACTCACAGCCTTTACTATAGGGTCCTACAGAAGATTCCTTTCCCTCATTCAGTGTCCATCCAGGGATTCTCTGTCATTGAAGTTAAAAATTAAGGGGCTACCTGACCTTTGCCATCCCTTGTAGAGAAATCAGGCCCCTAGAAATAGGAGAGGCCTGGCCTTCCTCAACTTCCCTGGTCTTTAGAGTGACACAAAGGTGTAGTCTCCTCCCCCACGACCCCTTGAGGCCTGAAATTTGTTTATCAGCCAGATTGTTTGGCTCCAGGAAATAAGACATATATACAAACATATTTGGGGGTGGAGTCATACTTTTTAGCTCTCTGGCAACAACAGTCTCCATTCCCCCAACTCCATCTCAAAATAACTTGTGAATCTATTGATAGTCTTTGAAATTTTGCCTTTATAGCAATTTATTGGAAAAGTATGTTCCAATTGTATTGGAAAGGGACTGCCTGTGGTGTTTTATTCTCAGTATCTTTCACAGGCCTCTGAAGCCTGGAAGAGTTAATTGAATATTTTTTTCCTCTGATTTCTAAAATAATGCTGCATGACAGGGAAAAAAATTTGGCTAAAATTAGGGAACTAGAAATTTCCTAGGTTTTAGAGATCTCTGATTATTCTAGTAAGTCTCCACCCTGCCACACACACCTCCACCCCCTGTAAAGCAGTGGGAGATTATACAAGAACAAACGAAAAGCTGGGAGAAGGATAAAGGGGTATAAGAGGGCCACAACACTGTCTTCTACCACCCCCTCCTCAGAGGACTGTTTTAAGAGACGTGCATCAATTAAGAGTCCCTGTAGGCCCCACAGAGCTGAGCAGAAAGAGCTGTGTCCTACTCAGTGTTTGCAGGAGAGTGGGCTGGCTATTAGAACACCCAAGTAAGAATGAGCCAACCTGGGCGACTGCACCGATGCTCGCATTTGTAGGGCAGAGGTTGATTTTATCTCCTGCCTCACTCTCACATGGTCGAAAACCTCAATCCCAGGCTTGGCCTTTTTCAAGCCGGTCCATGTTTTCTTTGACCACACTGAGCCACTGTGTTCCTACAGACTATCTTATCTAGTCGTGTTGAGTCACTCATATTTATTGCCTACACCTACAGACCTCTCAGAAAGCTTCCGAGGTCCTGCCCTAGGAACCGAGTTCTCCTCCTCCGACTTAACAAACAGAACTTTTATAGTATGGATCACCTAAGCCAATGAGTGATTTCCAAATTCGTCAGCATTGTAACAAACAAACATTTTTGGGATTTTTGTGGAAAATCTCTTCTCCCCTTTCTTTCCTTTCCTAAAAACATTAATTAATGAAATATGTATAAGGATTTTTATTTTTAATTCAACTTTTATTTTGAAAAGCTTGTAGAGGATGTTTTGATCACCTTTGGTCATTTGCCACATCCAAGGGTGATGTTAACCCAGCCCTTAACAAACACCAATATAAATCTCATACTTGAGAAAGGCCTTCATTACTTAAGTTTATAATATACTATTGTACAATCTTCAACTACTGACTGGCCCACTTATATTATTTCAATATATGCTTGATTGCAGGAAATCTTCACCGAACTAGCAGCGTTCCTGAGTATGTCTACAACCTACACTTGGTGGAAAATGATTTTGCTGGCGGGCGTTCCCCTACTATTAAAACCTATGACATGCTAAAGGTAGGATACCAGAGAATCTAACGCATTTATCGGACTACTGTGGAAACATTTTTTAAACTTCCATAGATTGTTTTTTAAGGTTACCTTTTCCAAATACTACTATTTCCTAAATGAATTTTGAGCAGAGTGATTTTGTATGGACACCATAGAAAACTGAGGACTTTAAACAGTAGCAAATCCTAGTGCAAATAACTAGTCAACCATGCTAACCCTGTCTTGTTTAAAAACAGATTTTACCCAGAAAGGGCCCAAATTCTCTGTGTGGTTCAGAGAAATAGACACCTTGTATAAGAGTGCTGAAATAGTCTTCACCAAAGATGAAAACTGATTTAAACTTGATTTCTCTCTCATGCAGCCTGGCATAACCACTGCATATGAAGGTCGTTGGGGGAGAGGCACGGCGCAGTACAGCTCACAGAAGTCAGTGGAGGAAAGATCCTTGAGGCAGCCTCTGAGGAGACTTGAGATTTCTCCAGACAGCAGCCCTGAGAGGATTCATTACTCACACGGCGGCGATCAACTGTACAGCCAGAGAAGTCAGGCGGGCCACACTTTGTGGCACCAAGACAGCAGGAGATCCACCCTCCTTACGGCTCCGAGATATGCTCGCTCAGAAATTGTTGGGTTCACCTCTGGGCCCATGAGCAGACAGCGCTACTATGACACTTACCACAGACAGTTCCAGTATGGGTCTGTTAGTGACAACGTTTTTCACAGTGCCCCCGTCAACCCAGTGGTGCTCACGTGCCCCAGGCCTAGGACCAGCCACAGCATGGGCAACCTCTTGGAGAAAGAGAACTACCTGACTTCAGGGCCTGCCCCTGGGCAGGGCAGGCCGCTGGTGCCCCTGCAGCCCGTTACTCAGAACAGGGCCATTCGGCCCTCCTGGCATCAGAGCTCCTTCCACAGCACGCGCACAGTGAGGGAAGCCTCTGTGGACTCAGGCGGCAGGAGGACACACATGACCGTCGGCCAAGTGGCAGCAGGAGGAAGTGGGAACATGCTCGCGGAGAGAACCACTTTCACCGACTCCCAGCTTGGGTGAGTCCCCATCTCAATCTGCAGGGCTGTCGGTGCCAGCACACTCTGTTCCCACAGCCCTTACAGCGTGAGCTGGCACTTCTTGGGCTGCACAGAAAGGTTTCCAGAGATAAGTGATTAAAATAATGACTTTTCAGGCAGCTGCCTAATTGACAGATTAACCTATTTACCTCAGGGACCGAGGCCAGGTTACCTGCTCATATGGTAACTTTGCAGGGAAATGTAACGATGAGTCCATGTGTTATTCCAAATTAGATGCTGACTGAAGGGATGGCCACTTCTTAGCTATGTGGAAGTCTGCTCTGAAGAAGAGTTAATGCCAAAGTAGACCAAAAAGTGGATAACTGCATGCATTTTTTTGAAATAAAGGAAGGAAAAAGATAAAAATGCTTATTCCACGGGCCAAGTGAACCTCAAAGGTTTGACAACTACCATAAAAAGCAAAGGCAACAATTTTTAGATGTCTCTTTCCTTCCTTTTATACCTGATACTTTTACTTTTTGATTCTAGTATCAGTGACTTGGAGGGTATTTTTTGTCAATACTGAATAATTTTAAAAATTTAAATTTTAAAGTCATCTCTCCTGTTTGCTTCATGGCTTGCCTAATCTGATCTTTGGAACGTAATCCTTATTCAAATTTAATGCTGGAGTACAAATTTCATAAACTGAGGAGAAAGTTACAAAGAGAAAGATTGAGAAATGGATGGATGATTAAATCGCTAACTCTGGAAATAAGGATGTAGCATCGTTATGATAAAACATTAAATATGTGATTTTTGTTTGATTTTCTAATATTGCTTAGTGGAAGTTGTTACCTTTCATTGTCATTTTAAGTGAAATTTTGCAGTATACTCGTTGACTATGCGGGCACTGCTGATGAAACATGTTAGGGCTAATCTAAACTTGAAGCAGGAAATATATTTTATAAAGCAAACTTGTGCATGAGACTTCAGACATTTCTGTGGAAAGCAGATCTTTATCAATATGGACACACTAATAAAAATGCATAAGGTAATTATTTGTGGAGGAAAAATCTGATCTAGGCTTCTAAATGGATAATTCAAAATGTATTGAATGCCTGCTATATTCTAGGATTTGTGCTAGGCACCATTTTCAGAAAACGAATTTAACAATGACAAAACTGTCATACCAACAGCTGGCATTCTTGTCTTCCTTCATGTCTGTACCCCCATGCTTTGTTTGTGTTTTCCTAGTGTCTCATCAGCCCACTGCAATATGGTGTTAGTCCCCACCATTTGACGGAAACAGTCTCCCCATAAGTGTACCAGTGACTGCCTTATAGTCCTCGACCTATGGGCAGCATTTGACACCACTATCTGTGAAATTCTCTCTCCCCTCGTTTGTCAGGGCACCAACCTCTCCTGGTTTTCCACTTGCCTCGCTGGACATTTCTTCTTAGTCTTCTCTGAAAAGACTTGTCTGCATACCCAAAGAAGTTATCTTTGCTAATCCTTCTCTTTCAAGCATTGGCGCTCTTCCAGAGAGGCCGTATGTACTAACTACACTTGTATCCTGTGATTCCCAAAGCTTTATCTTGAGCTCTGTTCTCTATCCTGAACCCTAGATGTGTATGTATTTCTAACAACCTCCTGGACATTCCATCCTCGGTATATCCAAAACTAAATTTATCAGCTCCTCCCTACCCTCTATTCCTAACCATCTCCTCTTACTAAAGTCCTACCATTTACAAACGTGGAAGTTATTCTTATCTTCTCCATTCAGTCACATATCACCAAGCCATATTTTTATCTCTTTAATGGTTCTTAAATTTTTACTCTTCTTTCCAACTCCATTGCACAGGTCTCTCTGCCTCTGGTCCTACTCACTCAGAACCCTTCTCTAGGACTCTTAGTGACCTTCCCAGATTTGATTATTTTTCTCTCCAGTTTATAACCTTTCCATAATTCTACCAAGCTTTCCTGCTTTTTAGCATGGCACACAAGGCCCATGTTTGCACCCCTGCTTGTCACTCTAGTCGCATCACTTTCTAATCTCCACCCTTTATCACCACCATCCCCAAACACACCCTGCGTAAACACTGAAACCACTCGGGACCTCTTTTACGGCCCTTAATGGAAGATATTCATATATTTCCTTCCTCCCTCCCACGCATCCATCCATCTCTTTTCCCCTAATAGCTCTGGTTTTGCCTGGCTTATCTTGGATACTACCATTTCCTAGACCACTCCCCTCTCAATCTACTTTAGGTGCTCCAGTTAGCTGTACTGTGTGGGTGTCTACCAGAGTTCCTCCAGTGTAGCCAGCACTGCCGTGAGAACCACAAGAGAGAAAAATTGAGTGGGATATATGAAAGTCTAGAGAAGATCAGTGAAAAAGAAAGTAAGACACATAATCAAGTGCTAGGTTGTATGGTACATACTAGCGTATATAGGAATTCAGAATAATATGTTGTGGTTATTCATTTACTTATCTGCTTCCCCTCTAGACTTTGAGCTTCTTGTAGGAGTGTCTTATTATCTTTATATTTTCAGCAACCTAAACAGAGGTAGGTCCATAATAGTCACTATATAAATGTGTGGTGAAAACATGAAGGAATTAAAGAAGGAAGAAATGAAATATAAACTTTTTTATGTTTTATTATCTAGGTTCTTGTTTTGCTCAAATTCCAGAAGTATTAGCCATACTATTTCAGGTTATTGTTTTAATGGATAGGGTAAGTTTTCTTAGAATAATTATATTCTTCTATTGAAGGAATACTCAGGGTCAAGAAATTTAAAATAAATGGCAAGAAATCTATTCTTGGTGTTTCCTAAAGTTGCCATCCTAGAGATCAGAAATCATAGAAATGAACTCTTCTTGAAAATTTTGCTCTCTGGAAAGCAAGAGGTGTTTCCTATAATTAGGACAATCCATGATCAAGGTGGCCTCTGTGCCTGACTCCTTCCTTTAGTGTGCCCCGCGGCTCATTTCATTCCCTCAGGCTGTCCCCTGGCAGCCCTGCACCCAAGACTGCTTTCCTTTCCCTCGCGGTGTCTCACATTTCAGATCTAGCCAGCGTCTGTTTCTGGAATCTACTTTGTTTTAATGTCTGGTGAACGTCTCACTTGTAAAGCGTTCTTTCACATTTGTGGAACATTCCTGTAGAGCAGCTAGATACAACTATAAACCTATGTAATGACATAAGGTTTTTAACAATGGATCTTTCTTCCCAAAAGAAAAATGGCTGGCTGGTCAGATGTTAGTGATGCAGCAGAAAACCAAGGCATGGGAGAAAAAGAGAGACAGTTAACACCTGTTCTACGTCAGACTTATGAAAAAGGTTCAAGAAATCACCAAGTAAAAAAATTCTAGATCAGCTCTCCTGAAAATATGATTTCTTTCCCTATGGAGCGGACTGGTGGTTCAGCCAATGAATATTAGGTTCCTGCAGTGTCCCCTGCACTGCAGTGAGCACTGTAAGAGAGAATTAGTGGACTATATGAAGGTCTACAGAAGATCAGTGAAAAGGAAAAAGAAAGACACATCATCAAGTGCTAGGTTGTGCAGGACACACTAGTGTATATAGGAATTCAGAGAACAAAAAAATCAGTGTGCTAAGGAGATTAAGGAGAGAGACTGGATCTCTGGGGGATCACCAGTTAAGTTTGTGACATAGACCTACACAGAGCAGAAAAAATGTCAAAGTAACTTCCCTCTGGATCCTCTTATTTACCATTTTCTTTAGTTCTTTGATTCTTTAAGTCTCTTTCAACTATGTCTTTCCATTTTCATTTTTAACAGCCCAGTTCATGGCTTTATTGCCTCTAAGGCTCTTGTAATGCCCTCAAAACTGTCTCTAGAAACACGTATCCACTCCAATAGTATCCACTCTTTCCGAAGGAGTGCTCTCACCATACTTAAAATCTTTGTTGAGGCAGAGGAATTGACGTTTCCTAAGCATCTGTGACAACATGCAGGAGCTTTCCCTTCGGCAGCTTGTGTCTGTTGGCCTACGAAGGTGTGTGGCCCTATGCTAATATCCGGAACCAGCCCCTTGGCAGGGCTGTGTTGTTAGCTGGCAGGAACCTGGTGAGCTGGTGGCGGGACCGCACGCATAAAAAAGTACCGTTTGTTATTTATTGCTATACTATCTCATTCTGACCAAGGATATTTTACACTGTTTCCTCTTTACATTTTTCATTTACATTGGCATCATTTTAGCATATTAAGTAAAGTTGTTGAGAAGACTCACTTCTGGAGAGTATGTTCAGGGGATAATGAAGTCCAGGGACAAGTGCTCTTCCTGGTCCTCCCACCCACCCAACGTCCTTCCCAAGCCACATTTTTTCAGGCTTCAAGAAGTGTTTTATGAGTGAGTGGGAAGGAGGGGAAAAAGAGAGAGAAACGGATGGAGTCAATTAATTTGTTGACTCCTAAGGCACAACATTGTAAAATACAAGATCATTATATATTTCTTGGTATCTATGCCAGACTGTTTTCTGCTTCATTTGTAATACATTTATACTCATGAGGTAACACTTCTATGTTGGAACATGTGTTTCAGAGGCAGGGGGTATTAATTTTTAGTCATTAGGCTCATTTCTCTTATCCCCTCACCTGTGTCACACTTACCCGTACACAAACACACAATTCACAATACTAGACACACATGTATACACATGTGCATTTATTGTGGGTTAGCCTGATATAAAGAGAGAATGTACTCACTGTGCTTGCCAGCAGATACTGGAAAACACCTTCTCAGGATGTCTTTGGAGTCTGTTACCTGGAACGAATCCATCATAAAACCCTCTTTAAAGCCAAAGAAGGGTCCTAGGTTACCTTCAAGACTGTCTTTAGCCACAATTCTAAGATGTTAACATCCTGAGTATGGTCGCTCTGAGGCAATGCTTAAGGAAGCACAAACCCCATTGATAATAGACTCCTAAACCTAGTTGCCCTCCAGGCAGAGATAAAAGGGGAAAAAACAGTATGGTTCTATGAGGCATTTGGGAATTACTTTTTTTTTTATGCATAGCAATGTTAGTTAACCTCTATAAATTATCCTCTGCATCAAACTGCATCACACTGCATCACCACTATAAATGCCTGCCATTAGTAAAGGACAAAAGTATGCTACTAGCCAGACATAAACTCAATGTCATTACAATGGCAATTAAATAATAACAGAATGTGTATACATTTTTTTAAAGAAAAAGCATATTTATAATTGCATTTAATCATTACCTTTCCTGATGGATTTTGTCACACCAGTGTGACTTATTTTAACCAAACAAACTCAGCTTTCCTGGCTCTTACTGTATGCATACTGTTATATTCATTAAGTAAGAACATTTTTAGAAAGCTTTTTATAAAACTAATTTTCAGGTGAAAGAACAGATTCTGAGCAGCTTTGAGAAAAATCTGATGATTTTTTGAGGAAAGGTGTTTCCTCTACTGGTGTGACATTACCAAGGTAGCAATAATTTTTTTCAATTTCTATGGCCAAATATCTTTTAAATTCCATGTAAAGTCTTATTATGCCTTCAAAGTCACTTTTTAGGATGTCATTATCTTAAAGTTCAGTTTATTTCTTTGATATGTGTTATGATTCTGCTCAATTCAATGGCCTCTGATGCTCACCTGACCAGAGCTGGGGTGTTTCCGCCACTAGCTCCCTGTACCTTCTGACCTCAGGTGCTGGTGTTTCTCTCTGCTGAAGAGGAGCCGGGGCTCAGGTGTTCTAGGTGCCTCCAGACATTAGCTGAGTCACCTCTGGAGGATCGGGTTGGTAGGCAGGAGGAAGCAGGTTTGGAATTTTGCTGAATCCGTGACTGTTTGTCTAGGAATGCTGACATGGAGATGACTCTGGAGCGGGCAGTGAGTATGCTTGATGCAGACCACACGTCGCCAGCCAGGATTTCGGCTGCCGCTACTTTCATCCAGCACGAGTGCTTCCAGAAATCTGAGGCGCGGAAAAGGGTGAGCATCACCTTAAGTCTGGTGCAAACCAGCACACTGTCACATGTAGTTATGATGGCCCTGCAAACCCAAACCAGTAATTTACTTAATACACATCTTCATTGAGTTATATGTCAGTTATAGCTCAATTTAAAATAATAAAGTGATTAAATATAATGAAAATAAATATCTTTATTGAGACTTTTTAATTTAAAAGGAAATACACACTCATTGCCAAAAAAATTTCTTGGAATTCAGAAACTTAGAGAATAAGTCAGTGCACAAATCTCCCTAACCTCCCCCTTTACAACTATCCCGAGGCAATTGTTGTCAACAGTCTATGTACTTTCAGATTTTTCTGAGAGCGCATGTGGAGGGAGGGAAAAGAGGAGGAGTGGTGGGAAGAGAGAAGGGGGGGGGGGGGAGAATGCATTTTAGGCTATTGTTTGCTACATTTAAAAAATATATTAAAAATAGACAATGTTTTCCAACTTTTGTTTGCATTTCATTTAACATAGCCATGGTTCAATAGACTGCTTTGTACATATATTTTTTGGCATTTCCACAAGTGTTCCTGTAGGACAGATCCCCCTCAAATGGAGCAATTTTATGTGTGTTTTAAAAAGTGGTACATTTGTGGGGAGGGGGGAGCATATTTCAAAAAGGCATGCAGTAAAAAGTGAATTTCTCTCCTGCCCCAAACCCCAGCCCACCCCCATCGCTTATTCTCTCACTGTCTCTTTTTCTCTCTTCCTCCCTCCCTCTACCCTTTTCTCTGTCTCTGTCTCTCATCAATTTTGGGGTATCTTTGCAGGTACTCTGTGCATGTAGAAGCAGTTATTGGATGGGTTGGTTTAGTATCCTTTTTTGTTTAAAACAAAATCACAAATGGTAGCAGATTACTTACAGTTCTCTGTATTTTGTTTTCATTTGATATTATATCTTGGAAAGCTTCGATATATATTAGCCCCACTTCATTCTTTAAACTACTGCATAGATTTCTTTTGTATAAATGTACCGGTTTTGTCTGTTCATTTTCTTAACAGCTTTATTAAGTAAGGTACAATTTGACAAAGCTTTGACATCTGTTTTGACACCATGAAACCATCGGCACAATAAAGATAATGAGCATATCAATTAACCTCCAAAGTTTCCTTGTGCCCCTTTGTAATCCATAATTCCCACCCCTCCCAACCCACTTCTAGACCCAGCGTTACCAATGATCTGCTTTCTGTTAATATAGATTATTTTGGATTATCTAGAATTTTATATAAATGGAATCATAAAGCACATAATACATTTTTTTCTCTGGATTCTTGGATTCTTTTATTCACCTTAAATCTTTTAAAATGCATCCAAACTGTTTTACAAAGTAGCTGTGCCATTTTACGTTCTCTTCAGCAATGTTTGATGGTTCTAGTTCCTCCACATCCTAACACTTGATATGGTCAGACTTAATTTTACCCTGTAAGTTTGTAATGGTAACTCATTGTGGTTTTAATTTGTATTTCCGTAGTGACTAATGGTGTTGAACATCTTTTCATGTGCTTATTTGCCATTTGTATATCTTCTTTGGTGCAATGTATGTTCAAATCTTTCCCCATTTTTATTTGAATTTTTTGTTTTCTTATTGAATTTTGGTAGATTTTTATGTATTCTGGATAGGTCATTTCTCAGATATGTGATATGGAAATATTTTCTCCCAGTTGTGTTTTGTCTTTTCATTCTCTTAAGAGTTTGTAACTTTGATTGAGTCCAGTTTACCAATTTCTTCCTTTATGGATCATGTTTTTCATGGTGTATCCAAGAAATCTTTCTGTAGTCCAAGGTCACAAAGATAATCTTCAATATTTTTGTCTATAAGTTTTACAAGTGTCAGATTTTATAGTTGGTCTATGATACGTTTAGGGTTAATTTTTGTATGTATTGCAAGATGTGGATTGAAGTTCCTTTTAAAACAATGTATGTATATGCAGCTGTTCAGGCACCATTTGTTGAAAAGACTATCCTTTCAGTACTGAATTGTTCTTGCACCTTTGTTGCAAAGAAATTAATCACATATGTGTGAGTCTATTTCTGTAATATGTATTCTATCCCATTGATCCTTTTGTCTGTCTTTATGCAAATACCACACTGTCTTGATTACTATAGTTTTATATTAAGTCTACTGTTATTCACTGTTTTTGTTCGCAGATGGCATGATCTTCAATGTAGAAAATCTGATGAATCTACAAATAAAGACAGTTTTGTTTCTTCCTTTCTAATCTGGATGGCTTATTTTATCATTTCTTTTTTCTTTTCATACTGGCTAGGTCCTCCAGTATAATGTTAAAAAGTGAGAGTGGACATGTCCTGTTCCTGATCTTCAGGGAAAAAGCATTCAGTCTTTCTTTCACTGTTAAGTATGATGCTACCTCTAGGTTTGTTTATTTGTTTATTTTTGAGGGATTTAACCTAAAGGAATTTTGTGGGGTTGTTTTTTTTAAAGAAAGGAATTTTTTTATATTTTAGTACCTTTTCAAACCATTTTTCCTTCTTTTTTGTTTTATGTTTTTTTGATTGAGATATAATTAAAATATAACATTATATTAGTTTCAGGTATAAAACATGATATTGTATATGTATATATATATATATATCATATATACATTTGATGTGATATCATCACAGTGAGTTTACTTACCACTCCTCACCATGCATAGTTACAAATTTTTTTATTATGATTAAAATTTACTTTTAGCAACTTTCAAATATACAGTACAGTATTATTAACTGTAGTCACCACGTTGTGTATTACATCCCTGTGACTTATTTATTTTATAACTGGAAGTTTGTGTCTTTTGACCACCTTCACCCATTTCACACAACCCTTAACCCCACCCCTGGCAATCACTAACCCCTTCTCTGTATCTAGGATTTTGGTTTTGTTTGTTGATTTGTTTGTTTTTTAGGTTCCACATAAGTGAGATCATACAGTATTTGTCTCTCTCTGGTTGACTTATTTCACTTAGCATAAGGCCTCTAAGGTCCATTCGTTTCGTCACAAATGGCAGGATTTTCTTCTTTGTCAACGGCTGAGTAATATTCCATTGTGCATATATACCACATTTTCTTTATTTCTTTATTCATCAGTGAACACTTAGGTTGTTTGTATGTCTTGACTATTGTAAATGATGTTTCAGTGAACACGGGGGTACAGATATCTTCTTGAGTTAATGTTTTTGTTTTCTTCAGATAAATACCCAGTAGAATTGGTGGATCATATGGTAGTTCTATCTTTAATTTTTTAAAGAACTTCCATACTGTTTTCCATAGTGGCTGCACCAATTTACATTCCTACCAACAGTGCACAAGGGTTTTTTCTCCATGTTCTCGCCAACACTTGTCATTGGTTGTCTTTTTGGAACTAGCCATCCTAGCAGGTGTGAGGTGACATCTCATTGTGGTTTTGATTTGCATTTCCCTGATGATTAGTGATGTTGAGCATCTTTTCCTGTACCTGTTGTCCATTTATATGTTTTCTTTGGAATAATGTTTATTCAGATCTTCTGTCCATTTTTTAATCATTTTTTTGCAGTTTCTTGCTATTTAGTTATATGAGTTTATATATATATATATATGTATGTATCTTGTATATTAATCCCTTATCAGAAATATAATTTGTAAATATTTTTTTCTATTCCATAGGTTGCCTTTTCCTCTTGTTGATGGCTTCCTTTGCTGTACAGAGGCTTTTTATTTGATGTCTTCCCACCTGTTTAAAATTTTTGCTTCTGTTGCCTTTTCTTTTGGTGTCAAATCCAAAAAAATCATCGCTAAAACCAATGTCAAAGAGCTTACCGCCTACATTTTCTTCTAGGACTTTGATGATTTCAGGTCTTACATTCAAGTCTTTAATCCATTTTCAGTTGATTTTTTTGAATGGTGTAAAATAATTGTCCAGTTTCACTATTTTGCACGTGGCTGTCCAATTTCCCCAGCATCATTTATTGAAGAGACTTCCCTTTCAGCATTGTATATTCTTTTGTTGTAAATTAATTGACCACATATGTGTAGGTTTATTTCTTTGTTCTCTATTATATTCCATTGATCTATGTGTCTGTTTTCATGCCAATACGATAATGTTGATTACTGTAGCTTTTCTTTTTAATTTTTTTTTTAATTTTTTTTTTGGTCATTGGTTACACAGTGCTTTCATGCTACAATGGCATAGTTGACTCTTTGAAGGAGGGCGCAGCTCACAGTGGCCCCTGTGGGGATCGAACCAGCAGCCTTGGTATTATCAGCACCATGCTCTAACCAACTGAGCTGACCAGTCACCCCTACTATAGCTTTTCAATATAGTTTGAAACCAGGAAACATGATGCTCCAACTTTGGCCTTCTTCCTCAAGATTTCTCTGGCTATACAGGGTCTTTATGGTTCCATACAAATTTTAAAATTGTTTATTCTATTTCTGTGAAAAATGCCACTGGAATTTTGCTAGGGATTACTTTGAATCTATAGATATCTTTGGTTAGTATGGACTTTTTAACAATAAGTCCTCCTATCCATGAACATGGAATATTTTTCCATTTATTTTTGTCTTCCTCAATTTCTTTCATCAATGTTTTATTATTTTCAGTATGCAGGTCTTTCACCTCCTTGGCTAAATTTATTCCAAGGTATTTTATGCTTTTTTTTTTTTTTTAAAGATTTTTATTGGGGAATTGGGGGGGTGGGAACAGTGCTGGGGAATTGGGGGAAGGGGAACAGACAAGTTGCTGTCGTTTTGTTCTTCAGTCTAGTTGTGGAGGACGTTGCTTCACTGGCCCAAGTTGGCACCATCATTGCGCTCTTCCCAGGCGAGGCAGATCAGTCGCCAGCTTCTGGACGGCCGCTCACTGCGGCTGCTGGCCGCTCACGCTGGCTGCTGACTACACACGGTAGCCCATGGCAACCCACTGCCACAGGGGCTGCAGCGTCGCCGGCGACTCATGGCAACCCAGCTCCAGGTTGAGCTGCTGTTCAGCATCTTAGCTG